CACACACACACACACACACACACACACAGTCGCACACATACACACACATAGGGACATACACACATACGTACACACACGTACACAAGTACACACATACATACACTTACACACATATACACATACACCTATACACGCACACCTACCTACGTACACACTTACACATACAAAGAAAGACACATACACACCTATAAAAACGCACATACACACTTACACACATACGCACGTACGCACACCTACACATACACACATACACACGCACATACACACATGTATACACAGACATATACACACTTGCACACATATACAGACCTACACACTAACGCACATACACACATACACCCATATACACATACCTATCTACGTACACAATTACACATATACACAAACACGCATACACACTTACGATGACACACATACACGCTTACACACTACACACATGTACACACACCTACACATACATACATAACACTTACGCACGAACACACATGACCACACCTACGCATACACACATGCACACATACACACATACGCATACATATAAATACGGCCACACGAACACACATACACAAGCATAACCACATATACACTTGTACACATGTACACATACACCCATACACACACCCACACACATATACCCTTAAACATACACACAAACACGCATATACACTGATAAACACACACACACATACACCATTACACACATGCACACGTGTACGCACACCAACATATACACACGCATACCCACATACAACATGCACACACACTTGCACGCATACACACATGCACACGTGTATACGTGTAGACTTACACATATACATACACACGCCTACACATTCATACACACACATATGCGCCCGCACAGTTACACACATGCACACACACGCATACACCTACACACATACACAATACTCGTACACACATACACACGCATATACACATACACTCATATAAACGTACACATACTCATATACAGACACACAATTGCACTACATACATGCACACGCATACCCCCATAGAAACGCATATCCACATACACGTATACACGCTTACCCACATACACAAACATTCACACTTATCAACATACACACAATACACGTACAGATACATACACATAGACGTACACATATGTACATATACACGGACAGACAACTGAACACATACACACATCAACACTTACTACTTACATATGCGGCTCGCCCTCACTCATGTGCGAGCACTAGCAACAAACCATTCGCTTCTGTCTTTCGCGAACGCCATCCACGACAGGCTCGGAATTCGACGAAGATGACGATGTGAGGAGTCGTTCAGCTCCTGTTGCAGCTGTTTCACGTGTTTCGACAAGCACATCCCTTCATCTCGCAGCAGGCCTAAAGCGCCCACTCGACCATGTCGTCTGTTGCCTTCTTGTCCATCTGTCATCATTCTTCTCATTACATGACCGGCCCACCGAAAGTTTGCTTTTTTCATGTATTCCACCAGTTCGCGGAGTGGAGACATTCTGCGCATATTGGAGCTGCAGAGTCCGGCTCGACATTCGATGAGCCGACTGAATCTCAAGAGACATAGCTCGAACAACAGATTAGCGCGAAGTTCCGGGTCGATCAGACGGTTAGTATCCTCTTTCAGAGGTCCGAAGGCTGCTCACGCTGCTTTCTGCCTCTCACCAGTTCTTACCTTTGTAGTTGTTTATATTCATGAACGCCCGAGATACATGTAGGACGAGGTTCCGTGATAGGTGTACCATCGATCTTAATTTGACCTTCGTCAGCCAGAGCAGTCTTCATGTTTTTGTTTGGTTGATCCGCAGCTTTACCTCCTTTCCTGCTTTATTAAGCTCAACAAGCATTGTCTCAGCTTCCACAATGCCGCTTGAAAAGAGAACGAAGTCTTTCGCAAAGCGGAGATTTGAGCGGAACCGTCCATCCACACGAATGCCCTTTTCCTCCCAGTTTAGCGACTTCATAATCCACTGCAGGGCGGCTGTGATTAGCTTCGGCGGACCGTTGTCTCACACTCTTCCCCATGGTAATGGGGAGAATTCCTTGGAACAGCTTCACCGTCGCGCTGCAGCGACTATTGCAGTCAGCTATTGTTCTTCTGTAGGGAGCGTCCACTCCCTGATCGAACAGTACCGAGAGTACCGCCTTCGTTTCGACGCTGTCAAAAGCTTTTTCGTAGTCAACTAAGGTAAGGACAAGAGGCATCCAGAATTCTCGGCACACTTCGACGACCATTGCACCCGCTTGGATGTGGTCCAAACAGCTGAATCCCTTCCGGAATCCGTCCTGCTCTCCAAGTTGAGCTTCATGCAACCCTCGCGATATGTGGGTTAGAATGATCTTCGTGAACAGCGTGTAAAGCACGCTTAACAAGCTTAAAGGGCGGTAGTTGCGAAGATCATCCCGGCGTCCATCTTGTGAAGGATGACCTTCCTCGAGTTCCTCCACTGGTTGGGGATCTTCTCCTTCTGGAGGCAGGACGCCATGAGCGTTGCGAGAAGCGCATGACTCCGATGTCCAGCGGCAACGTTCCTTCTTCTGGAAGAAAAGTTTCCATGGAAAAGTCGGGCCGCGGACAGGAGTCCAGCTGGACGGGTTTCGTTCTCGTTCCTGTCCCCTTTCCGAACTTTTCAATCCTGAACTCATCCTCTTGTGCTTCGCCAAGCATAGTGTTGATAGTTCGTCAGTTAAAGAGTGTGGAGAGTAGCAGTTGACGATGGAGATGGTCTTCATGTGCGTATGTCATAGGCGTAGGATGGCAAAGCGAGGAAACAGGACTTCGTGAGAATCGACGAGATGGATGACAGACGGGAGCACGTTGAAACCAACGCCGCCGACGTTTCGCGATGGAAGCTTTCACCACGAGTATGGGGGTTCCATCATTCATTCGTCGTATGCCGGTCCTCCTGCTCTTGGTTTCCTGCAGCGCAGTCACATGGCACTTGCGAATGGCCACATCGAGGAGCTCATGGTGAGCGGCATTGGAAGAGACTGCTTTCGCGTTATAGGTATGAAGTAGGAAACAGTCTCCGTGTTGTGTGGAGGGAGTGCTGTCATGGTCTAAAATCCATGGCGTCTTGCGCAACCCGAGATTCTTCGGCTCTCACCGGTCGCCATGCCGTCTTAGACGGCTGGGCCGGTGTACGGGGTACTGAGGCTGTTTTATTGCTGTTTCAGCAAGCTTGCCTCCTGTCCCTGGATTCTCAATACTGCTTAGCCAGGGCCAGTGCTGAGCCTTCACCAATAGGCCACCTCAGCTCCCTCTGAGACCGGGTCAAGCGTGGGGTGGGTGGGCCACGTCCTCAGAAGTATAAAGCACACATTAGCTTGGCGAAGCCCCGCCCACAGTGGGCGTAGCGTGCATCGAAATGAGCTGGACTGAGGACCATGATTTCAAATTCAGTCACAAGGCGGCCTCAAAATTGGGGTTTAAAGGTGGCTAGAAGTGTGCATTGGTAAGTTAGATCGAACAGTGGAGACCCACCCCCGATGGGCGGGGCGTTCTCCAAAAATGCAGTGCTTTATGAAAACATTTATAACTCGCTTTGGAGAAAGCCAACAGGGCAGGGAAAAGTTGATATGGGAGAAGCATTGTTGAAGGTGTCTCCAGCATACATGACGTCAGCGGAGGCCCGCCCACAATGGGCGGAGCGTGCCTCGAAGCTCACATCCCTTCTTACATTTATATACGAAAATCCATAACTCGAGTTCCCATGGACCTAGAAAGTTCAAACTTGGTAGGAGTACAAATGCCATGGTGGGAAAACATACGGTTGTGGCAGAAGCAGACTCCGCTCACAGGGGGCGGGGTTTGGGCGAAAATTCATAACTCCTATCCCCATGGACCTAGCAAGTTCAAACTTGGTAGGAGTACAG